GTTCCCATGAGCGATGCCCCGGCGTCGGAAAGGCCCCGGCGAAGGCAGCGCCGCTGGCCGCTCCGCGGGAGGCAGCTCCGAGCGCTGGCAGGGAGGAGACGCAGCGCCGCAGGGGAGGGCAGGCGGATGGTGGCAGGGCGAACCGCAGCGCCGGCCCTTCCCAGGTGCACAGCTGACGAGGCAGTTTCCCGAGAGCAACCAAAGCGTCTTGCACGTCGGTGTGAGGTATCACCTCGGGGGGAAAATCCTGCCATGGGGGGAGGTCGGTGCTTTCACACCCAGCTGTGGCTTCACAGGCTGCTTCCAGGAGATTTGCATGCTGCATTAACTGGTTTGCCTCCCGCTGGGTGGCACGGCCCCGGATGAATTGCCAGGTGGCTCCGGAGGGACCGCGGGCTCCCAGCGCACCTCCGCGGATCGGGCTGCTGTAGGCATGTGTCCTGCTGCAAGAGCTGTATCGGGTTCTGGCAGAGGCATGAGGGACTGGGGGCTGTTTCACATGATAAGGGAGTGATTGATATCCTGGTATGTAGTGCAGCAGATCAGGAAACAATGTCCCCTTTTCATTTCCAGAGAGGCCTGACTGTGCCAGGTTTCTTAAAGTTAAACTAATCTCGTCTGTTTTATCATGCCATTGCTGCAGAACGTAACCCTGAGTTTAAAGTAATTGCAGTACTAATTACTCATTCGGATGGTTCAAAATGAGTTACTCCTGGTATCTAAGACATTGCCAGTTATTGCTGTTCAGTCTCGGCCCAGCTGCTTAAAAACGAGGTGCAACTCAACGTTATCTGCTTTGGACTCCTACCAGCAGTCATAAATAACTGTTATTGCTTTTCATATGATGGGGCTGACGCTAGCAAGAGGAAAGCACAGCCCTTTGGAGAGAGATGGGGGCCCCCCCCCCGCGGGGAGCCAGGGCCTTGGGTCCTGCGCCAGGCTCGGTGCTCCTCCTGTTTGGCCTAGGACTAGTCCATAAGCCTGTGCACCTTGATCCCTTTGCCTGTAAAACAGAGGGGAGCACGTTAAGCTGTTTCTGCTGGTGTAAGCAGCCCGATCCAGATCTTCAGAAGGCCTTTGAACACCTTGGAGCGCAGGTGGCGTTGGGGGAGTTTGCACGTTTGCACTGGGTGAAGATGCACCTAGACGGCCCCAGGGGCCCCGCTGAGCCGCGGCAGCCCCTCGCGCCAGCCTG